TATACGAGGAGGAACCAAAGATCAAAGACACGCAAGTCTTTTGCTCTCTGACTATGACCCTAGGCCATACGACCACTCACACAAATACATGTTCATTACCCCGGTACTGGCGATCCCAGTCACCACATACCGACCTCCACACCACAGTGATCAACACCTAACCAACTCAACTTGTACACCGACTTACCCAGATTCCGCATCTGGCGCGGCCACCCGGCACACAGCCTTGCAAAACTACAGTCAGCTTGTTAGGACTTTTCGACTCGCCATACACACAAATCATTTAGCCACGACTTCCCGGAAGTTGGCAAATGGGTTGAGAGAGCGTTTTTCGGATGCGCTTGTGGATTTTATAGTTGTGAAGAGGGAGATAGAAGATGGGAGGGAACGGGGACAGAGGTAGGAGGGGGTGGAGGGAGAGTTCAAGTAAATCACTCATGGAAAGCCATATCGATCCCTGTGAGTTCCTTTGCAACCAATCAAATGACAGCATGAGGGAAGTATCCTCCTTACACAATATCGTCTAATGGCTCGAGTACCTTGATGGGGGGGAATCGGTAGGGAGTTATTGTATGGTGATGAAACCCGGAAGAAGGGGAGCACGAAGACTAGTGCGGCGCGGGACCAAGATTCAGACGAAAAGGAGTGGGAGAGAAGCGCGTAAGGAGAGGGGATGGAAAACAGTTACAGATGGAGGAAAGATGGCGCAAAAAAGAGAGAGGCGAAGATGGCATGGGGATAGTAGGAAACGGGGGAAGTTGCTACATGGCGCCAGCACAGAAGCAGAAAGGCACCAAAACAGTTATGTTTTGTTCATTCTAGCTCTAAAACTAATTCAAGATGGAGAAATTCAAAAACGATATCTGCACACGAGATTTGATGCGGGAAAAAATTGTACGCCTATTCAGATCCTACTGAAAATTCACAGAGCCTTCAAGGGCGAATTTAGGAACACTCACTTGCAAGAAAGGACCCGTCAGCGGGAAGCGCGGCCACAAATTTCGGAATTCCCAACTGCCGAACAAAATTCCTAGCGTACTCACTAAGGCACTTGTAAGTCCTACGTAAATTCATGGATCGCCGGAGAGAATTTGTGACAAGTCCTCAGAAAGAAAAACAACAAATCTTAAAAGTGGGAGGGCCTCATCGGCCATTGATTCCATGCATACCACCAACCAAGAAGAGGGGTACCCCTATACCACCAACCAAAAAGAAGGGTACCCCTAAAGCCCGTTAGAGATAAAAAAAAGCAAAACTCAGGGCTTTGGAAGTTCATTCATATACAGAAGTTGGCACGTCACAGGGTTCGTCAGTCATGTCGGTCAATCTATGTGTCTCGTCCTTCGGTCGGTCGGTCGGTTGCTTGCATGGTTGGTTGGGTCGTTAGGTGGTTGGGTGGCTGGGTGGTTGTTTTTCCGCATATGGTGGAATTTCTTATTGATTGCATGGTTAGTTGGTTGGCGCGTTGACTGGTTGATAACTTGATTGATTGATTGGCGAGGTCTAAAACAAAATAAGAAACAAGTATGGACGTGGCAGGTTTTGAGTTTGCAAAGGTAAAAAAAACAAGCATCGGTGAAGAAAACAGCCGCTGAGCTCAAAAATGCAATTTCAGTAGAAAACTATCTGCCGCTGAGCTCAAAAGTGCAATTTCAGTAGAAAACGATCTCCCCTGACACCATGGCCAGCCCCTGTTGTTATGACACCCGGCCTGACACCACGGCTACAGTACTTTCATTGCATTTTCAAACTCGCCGGCTGTTTTCTTTGCAGGAGCGTGTCTTTTTTTTCGCGCATTAGAAACTCAATTGCGGCACTTGCGGACATTTTGTGCAGAAACAGGGAACGGAACTCTCAAAAGAAGAGGTCCAGTGCTTCCTGTAGATGGATAGGGGTCAATAGCTCGGCTGTCATTCCAGAGACGGAAATGGTAGGCAAAAACAACAACATACATATGGAGTGAGAAAGTGGAACAGGCTCTGGCAACCCCTTTTATGGTTGCCTAGGCCTTGTTGTAGCTATATTGATATTATGTTTACCGTACACGGGACGCCGTCCCTGTAGCAGGTGCAACTCCCCACCAATAGATGGAGTCTCAGCAAGACTACAGCAGATCTCAAACCTAACGGTATCCCTTAGGTTTCAGGCAGGCTGCTCTCTGTGGGGCCAGTTTTTGGATCCTTGGTGTGACATATAGGTAGGGCCTACGTTGGGGTGGCAGATGTTGTGGGGCCTATCTTCTCATGTTTGAGGTAGGTGGATCAGTGAATTACATGGCTGAACTCTAGGGGCCCAGTAACGACTTGTCTTCTGACATCTCGATCTTGGTATGAGTGGGAAAATTCCAGAGCTTACACGAGATAAACTTCTGGTGTTGAGAGGGAAGCCAGATCACACCATCGTTGAACCTGTCTGGCTTTCACACTGGATTCATGTTACTTCACCACAAGTAGAGCCACAGTCCTGTGGGGCCTAGCTGCTGGCATCCTTCCTGAGCTGAGACGATTAATGGCAGGTGAACATGGGATATGGAACCGACCTAGTAAAGCGGCCTCTCCTCAAACAATCAGAGTAACACGTGTAGCAGGGTCATGATGGCTCTGACTGCATTTGAGCCCTTTAGGTCATGTTCAACTATGGTAACCCTTTGTGTATGAGCATTACTGGATATGAGAGTAAACATAGATCACTTCAGTGTCCTCTACCGTCTGAGAAACATCGCTTCCGATCAGCTTAGCTGGCCATCTTAGATTTGTAACCGAAGATATTGCTGATGATTGCTGATCATCTGGACGCTTTTTTATTTGATGCGAACAAACATGGTCGAGTGTGCCAAACAAAAAATGTCTCCCTTTTGGTGCTCTTTTTTTTTTTTTTTTTGCGAGAAATCTGTGGGGAGCCTACTATTGGAGGTGATATGAGCATCTCCAGAAGTACGCATGCCGTTTGTAGATGGCTCCCATCTATTTGTGGGCTTATACCTGCTGGAAACCGGGCCCAGCATTCCAGCAAAAAGATCAGGGCAATTTATGGCAAGCAGACCAGCACAGATTGTCCTCTTTCAAGGGGACCGGTGCGGGCTACGCCCGCAGAAATAACAAATGGAGTGGGTGACCTCACACTGCATTTCGGATGGCTCGCCTCCAAGATGTTCGTCCGCAGAAACAACGACGGCCTATCGCGGGGCACAAAACGACAGCCGGGCGAGAAATGAAAAAAGAAGGAAGGAAAAGAAAAAAAAAGAAAAAAAAGGGGGCACACAAAACGACGGCCAACCGGGGAAAACAAAACAACAAAAAGCCGCCCGCATACCGGATGGCTCGCCTCCAAGATGTCTGTCTGCATCAACACCAGCCGTGTGCCCCGCCCCCAGGGCGCGCGCTCTCGTTCAATGGCGCGCTGTGAACATTTCCGTACGCGCACCCCTCTGCACACTCCCCCGCCCTCGATCGCCTTCATACGCCGCCCCTCACCAAAACTTCGACCCGAATCCGGCGCGTAGCGCGTCAGGGACCTCCCCCCCGCGGCCAATGCTGCTTAAGCCTTAAGGGATAGGATTAACTGAGCTCCTAATCCACGACCAGTGCCACCACCTTCTCACCACGGCCGATGCTGCTTAAGGGATAGGATTAACTGACCTCCTAATCAACTGACCTCTGAATAGTACACTCGCTGAACCCTGCAATGTGGTGGCCTCTGAACTGCCTCTTTTCTCCTCACCCCAGTTCATGATGTTATCTGAACCCTGATTCCTTCTTCAACAGGCTTGGTCGTACCCCTCTTCTGGGAAGATTGGTGGTTTTCCTCTCTGTTCTGGTCCCGGAAACTCATCCCTTCTCTGTTTCCCTGGACCCCCTGGCCCCTGTTCCAGCTGGAATCATGCTGTATGGGCCGTAACTGATATTATTTGTCTGCACGGTCCTTGAGAAGTGGGGTTCACAGACCTCGTTTTAGGGGTTAATTGTTCAATGTGTTGATTTGTAGCGTTGGAACGTAGGCTTCTAGTTGATTTGATGTTGGTTAATGATTGATAACAAAGGGACGTATGTTTTCTATGGTTTTACTAACCGGTGTTGTTGAGCTGGGGGGTGGACGATGGGTTTGAACCCGTGAATTCACGGTTATCTGTTGACTAATTGGTGGGGTGCGCCGCTGCAGGGTCTTGAACTCGTAATCTTAGCTATATTGAAGCGGTTACCCTGTGTGAGGATTTGAACTCGTGGTCTGTTGTTGTTGTTTTTTGTGCAAGGATGGGTGGACGCGATTTGAACTTTGTAGGTCGCTGTTTTTTTCCTGTTTTCAGGGTTACGTACTTGATTTCCTTTTAGGCCTCCCTACAGGGCTGTGTATTTGACCCTCTTTTGGAATAGATTAGTTGAGGTGAATATACAACCAGTGTTCCAGTACTTTCTAGGCGTAGTTTCTGGCTTTGTAGGCGGCTGCTCAGATACGATATAAGCAGTTCGTGTGAAACTTCAAACACCGACTTTCAAAAGACCCCTACCGGTCGGGTCCTACGCCAGGCGGCTTCGGTCACAGTGTACTTCATGTTTAGTCAATCAAGTCGCATTCGGGTTTTCGTTGTATGACTGCTTATCTGTGTGTGTCCTCCTACCTTCCTCCTCTTCTTCTTCTCCCTTCTCCCCCTTTCTTGGTTGATCGATGGAGGTTGTCAGGTTGGTCCGTTCATTTTTCGTTTCGTGAATGCTGTAATCTGACCTTCATGCACGAGGTAACCGACGTAGAAGTCGTACTATCATTGAGTGGCCTCGAGTTACCATGGCGGCGAACGACAATAACCAGTACTTCGACAATCGATCTTGCTATAATTGTGGCCAGACTGGTCACATCTCTCGTTACTGCCCCCTCACCAACAGACGTGCTAATCTCCCTCCCTCTTCTAGTACTGCGTTAGTCCCTGCTCAACCTTTGTTGACTTTTCCTGCTGGTAACTCCACTGGTGCGAACTCGGGCAGTAATTATTCTGGACAGCAGTCTGGGCAATACTCTGACCGAGGATGGCTGCGCAACTGTGTGTCTATGCTCAAGGGGATTGTAACCAAGACTAAAGAGAAGCACGATGCGGACAAGGCCAGGGAGCAGGCTGCTAGGGAAGAAGAACAGCATAAGATGAAGGAAAAAGAAGACGAAGAACTCAGGTTACGTGAGAAATTGGACAGAGAAGAGTGGCAGTCGAAGATGAGGGAGGATTTGCTTTCCCGATGGGAGATGGTGTGTGAGAAAATTGACAAGAAAGACAAGGAGTGCAATGAGGTGGCGAAGCTACGTGAAGAAATCGCCAAGCTGACGCAGCGGAATAGTTCGGGTGAGACATCTATGTCTGTGATGAAGCCATCAGTCGACTTTGAGTTTGTGGAACGACTGAAAAGAGAGCAAGAGGAGCTGCGTGCGGTCGCTGATAAGAGGTTTACCATGCTTGAAGAGAAGATCTCCGGTCTTGTGAAGGAGAAGAGTGAAGCTGAAGCGAGTGTGGAGCTTTGGAAAGCAGAAGCCCTGCGCCCAGGGAACAAACGAGGAAGCATCGCGGTAGAAACTCCCGGCACAGAGGCCAGGGTCCGGCAGCGGGGGACACCATGCAGGCCACCCACGGATCCTCGGCTTAACCCAGTGCTCAAGGGAATGGTGGATCGGCATAATCTTGAACTCAATGCACTGAAGGAATTGCGGCTGAAGGATGCGCATGACAGAATCGAGGCTGAGAAGGAAGTGGAGAGATTGAAGGAGGCTATAGCTAGACTTGAGATGGTGAGGGAGAAGGGAACTAACCTGAAGAGCAAATTGGACGAGGCAGCGGGTCCTTCTGCTAGGAAGGCTGGTGGCACCTCTGCGAAGAAGATGTGTGCTGTTTCACCAGCTGAACAGGTGGCCGAGCGGGAGGCCTTCGCACGGATGCAATGAAGGCAGTTGAAGAAACTGAACAAAGAGCAAGTGTCGGCGATTTGTGATAAGGAGGAATTGTTTATACCAAGTTGGAGCAGACGAAGGAGGAGATTGTTTGTCAGAGAGTGGCCAGAGCCTTCGATGAAGACAAGGGTAAAGGTGTCTCTGTGGTCGAAGTTAACGAGGAGGAGAGTGAGGATTTGGGGAGGAATGACGGGCAAGACACAGCGACTTCTTAGTGTCTTGCCTGGACGCGACTACACTTTGGAATACGGCTAGACATCTTTGTAAGTTTAGATCTTCTCTTATGAGCTACTTCAGAGCAAACCAGTTAACCTGTTGTTAAGTTTTGTTGTGTGCCTCCTGATTGTGTTGGGACAAGTGCCTTGGGGTGAGAAGCTTATTCCGTTTATTTCCGAACATTGGACGCCGGCACCTCTGACCAGGCCATCCTGAATCCCCCCAACACCTGCTCCCGCCCTCCCTCCAACCCCCGACTGCTGATTCCCCTCCCCACACGCATCTCACCCCGAGACTCCGGCCTGCACCCCGACCCCGCCATCTCCGATCGGTCCATCAGGTCCCTCCTCCCTACTCCTCGTTCCCTCCAAGCTGGTCTCGCCCCGGCCCCCTGCTGTCCGACGAGGTCCCCCATCACTTGCGTCCACCCCCTTCCCCTGATCTAACTCGGATCTCCCATCTCCTGCCCCCTCACCTCCGGATCCCATAACCCGCTTCCGATCCCGATCCCGGCAATCCCGACGGCCCTTCCTGACCCTGATCCCGACACCTCTGATCGGGCCATCCTGACCCTCCCTCCCCCTCTTGGTCCCCCTAATCCGACGTGGCCCTCTTCTACGGCCCTGTGACTTGGCCCCTCACCTCTGGCACCGGCTGCCTTCACAAAAGCACCTCAAGCAGCCCCTGGAACGGGAGAGTAAAGGCAACGACACACCTCCATGGCATTTAGCAAGGGTCCAAAAATTGGGTTCAAGTACCAAAGGGCCCAAAAAAAACTTGACTCCACCCTTTTGTATCAGGGAGCCATGAGACAGCATGCAAACAAAAGATTGGTGGGTGGGCCACAAAGGACAAGAATGGAAGGCACCCCGTCTGCCCAACAGACAAAGGCCCAGGACGATCCCCAATCTCCCCCCCCCACCCCCCCTCACATATCTCATTCCTCTCCCTCTCCCTCATGGGCGGCTCGTCTACGCAGGCCACACGTGGGCCAAACGATTGCAGTGCAAAGAAAAACAGAGGAAGGGGAAGGGCGGGAGTGGAAGATTCCCTTAGACAACCTATCGTCTGCAGGTGCCTTCTTCCTGGCAAAACTCTTAACCCCATCAGAGCCCAAGATCATTATTCTGAAAGGAAAATCCTCACTGGTTAAAACTCTTCCAGCGGAGAGATCAGAGATAGGAATGAGCTGTATATAAAACACGCAAGCAACTGGGTATTTCACGATGACACCACGTTCAAATCTACAAATGACAAAGTAGGATGGATACGGAAGAGGCTCGCCTCCCTCAAAGGAAACATGGAGGAAGCGCAGGACCTTTTTCGACTCGAGCCCATTTCGACATCCACGGTCACTCTCATTTGCAGATATGGAGCGGATAAGCAAACAATGGACAGCTGGAGATCTATCCGCTGTGAGAGATCTGAGGTACGAATCTACACATGGCCCCCCCCAAAACAACAATGCCCAGAAGAGAGAAGGGAGAAAATGATGTTGGAAAATTTTTGGGTGGAATTTCGGCACATCCCTATTGAAATCTGGGCGGCTTTTGTTCAGGATTTCGGAGAAAAATTCGACATCATTGACTTCATCGATCCTCTTCCCCCCCACGTCGCCAGAAGGTTTGATTACCTTGTGCTGGCAATAGACCTCCCTGAAGGGCATCCCTTCAAGGTGGACGACGTCATCCCCTTCCGGGTCGGGGAAAAGGAATACAAGATACACACGGCCCACAAGCTACGACCTTGGTGTTTCAAGTGTCAGGCTTATGGACACTTGTACACCGACCCGGTTTGCTCTCAGTATCCAGTAAATCAGGTCAGGGCCATTGGGCGCCTTATTCAAAACCCTTTTCGAAGCACATATTGGCGCACCGTTGACCCCGGGCACGAAGGGTGGGTCTACGTTGAGAAGACTGAAAAAGGAAGGGAAGTTATCGGTTGGATATGGGACAGAGCGGGGGAACCCATTTTGGACTTTAAACCCCCACCTACTTGGACACCCCCAAGGACGGTGGAATCACACTTACAGCCACAAGGGGCCTCTCCCATCCTACAGGAGACCAGGGAAGGGGCGGAACAAGACAAGCATGAAGGGAGACATTTAGGCGGCCCCCGAGCATTATCTGAAGGATCAAGAGAGCCCGCTGCAGCCACGTGCCCCCCAAAAAGGGAAGCGCGGAGGTCCACTACCCCGGGCCATCGAGAAGAACAAGGAGGTGGATGCAAACACATTCGCCATGTTGGCAACTGAATGGGAAGGGACGGAGGAGGGAGGGGTAGTGACATCGACAGAACCAGGAGGGACTGAGGGAGGAGAGATAGTGACTTCGGGAGTACAGACCCAGAACAGAAGACAGCCCCAACTGACTCAGCACGACGGAAAAGAAAACAGCATGCAACCCGCCAGCCATAATCAATCTAGTATAGAATCGAGGGACCCCTATGCCAATGTGCTGAAATGGAGTGGGGAAGGGAGGGACAATTTGACGGTCCTCAAACTCGTGCGGAATTCAAACCCCTCAACACTAAAAATTGCAGATTGGATTTTGACGAGTCTACAAGCTCTGCACGCAGAGGCCCCAACTGATTTCTGGCCCCAAGCCCATGCACAGTTAAAGGGGGCCCTCAAGAACAACGCAATGGTGATGCACATCCTGGAACATGGCCCACCGGCCCAAACACAATGGACTGAGATACGCCAGCAAATGTTCAAAATCTCCGCTGCTCACTTCCAGGCACCGCCGAAGGGAATACAAACAGTACACCACCAGCCAGCCAAACTCTCTGGCGAACAACCGAGCAAAGGCACCCGGCCAAGTGCAGATCAGCAGCAGCAGGACACGGATCGGAAAGGGGCAGGGGAGAAGGTCGGTTGTCAAAAGGGAGGGGGACGGGCGCTAGGGGCGAAAAGGAACATCAAGTACCGGCCCAAGGAAAAACCGCCACAGAAGACTACCTCGAAGGGGCCTTTGGCGGCAGCCAATGGAGATCGAGGAGCCTTCAGTCCCCCTTCCCCCCACACCGGACGTAGTTGCGATGGACATCGATCATCACGTTGACACCGACGCCCCCCCGGCCGAAATGGACATGGAGCAGAAACTCAGAACCATTGCTGATTGGTTGTTAGATGGATTCCGGGCCCAGCACCCTGGTGCTGCACAATATTTATGGGACCGCTCTTATACCCAACTCTTCACCCTCTTGGATAAGAGTCTGACCCTGCGCAAAGCCCTAGAGGAGGGCCCCCCCCCCCATATCACCTGGCGCGAAATTTTCCAGCGGATCCGCCACCTGGCAGCCCAACAATTCCACCCCCCTGTGCAACAACAGCCTCCTCAGGGAGAATGTGGAGAGAACCGAGCAGATCCCCACTCCACATGGTAGAGGTAGGCCAGTACGAGAAGAACCTATTACATAAAGAGGGGGTGGCAGTTATACCTCTAAGATATGCGAGGGACAGGATGGAGATCAGACTCTCCCCGGTACTAGGCGGGTTTACGCTGTCAGGATGGGACTTTTACAATATCTGGTCCCTTCCCGGCCTGCATGACAGCGACTTCAAGAAAAAGACAGGCTCTTTTTTAAGCCAACACTATCCAGTAGGAATCCTAGCAACCCTTCCCCAATTTGATGGCTTGATAAGGGTCGATACTACAGACTTGTATGTCCTCTTCGAGGAGGACAAGGACTCAAACCTTAAATGGTTTTGTCACGGAGCCCTGATGGAGCTCTCCCTCCAGCAAGTGAAAGCCAACTCCTTCTGGTCGGAAGAGGACCTATTCACTTGTTTGTCGAAGGTCCTCCGGTACGGGCTGCTGTGTACGACACACTGGTCCACCAAACCATGGACATGGGTCTAGATAGGGGGGAGGAAGCGATAGGACTGCAAAAATTGACAAAATTGACACCATGTACTGCAGAAATCCACAGTGGAAGCACTGCCTCAGAAATGCAGATCTCGACCTAAGGTCCCTCAATGTGAATGGTCTGGCCTCCTTCAATCCCTCGAAAAGGCAAGCGATATGGGACCACCTAAAAGGAGTGGGAGGCAAGACGTGGCCCGATGTAATCTGCATCCAAGAAACTCACCTAATGGACAAACCAGAACACCACCGGGCCCACAAAACAGTTTGGCCCCACCAGGCCTACACGGCGCATGCCAAGACACTGGGGTCGGCAGGGGTAGCGATCTGGATCCCGCCGGGGTCCCGTTTAGAGGTGGTAAATTGGGTAGCAGACGAGGAACAAGGGAGGTGGGTGTCGATTTTCGAAATGTTGGAGTTATAACTAATCAACATCTTGTGTATTCATGCCCCCAACACAGCAACAGAAAGGGCGTTTTTCTTCACCCATCTCCAGACCCTCGCACCACAAGGAGTTCCACTGGTCATCGCTGGCGATTTTAACGCAGCACCAGACAGAGGGATGGATAGATGGGGATCCCACGACCCTTGTCCAGACTATGTGGAAAAAGATGAAAAATCAATGGCAGACCCTTGCGAAGCCTTGGGTCTGGTGAACGCCTTCAGACTTTTACATCCGACTGCAAAGACCTACACTTGTCATCGCACCAATGATCAGTTCAGACACTCAAAATCACGTATCGATCTGATTCTGCTCTCGCAAGAAATTCAGAACGCCCTGCAACTTTCTACCATCCTCCCACAGAACCCCCACCCCGACCTTGACCACTGCACATGCGGGGCCATTTTCTCCTTCCGTAAACGCTCGGACCAAGGCCCCGGATACTACAAACTCAATACTTCCCTACTAAAGACAAGTCGTTCCATACATTTATCCGCGATGTCTGGAA